TTAAAAAAGTTTTGGAAAACTTTAATACGATTTATACAAAGAAAAGTATAAATGGACTCATCTGTACCTTCAAATATTGCCCCTACTCTAGAGTCCTAGAGACTATGTTATTTGAGTTTAAATATCTCAGTTGTGGACAAGAATTATATGGTTTTGGATAGATAAATATAAAATGTATTTTTATATAGATAAATATAAAGATACATATATTTATATAATTATAGATATAGCACCACATGTAGTTAATATATCATAAAAAATCCAAGCAGTGTTCACATTTCTCAGTTGCATAATTTTTGAATGTTTTTGAATCAGGATTCAAATAATGGCCATGTATTTCAGCTGACTGTTGAGGTTTTTGAGTCTCGGTCTGCAGGCTCCTCCCACCCTGGAATCTACACGCACTGTATTTGTTGAAGAAACTGATTTATCCTACAGGGTTTTCCACAGTTTGGATTTTGCTTGTTGTGTCTTTGGATTTTTTTTCTTACATTTGTTGGATCATAATCAGGTCTATTGATTAGTTAATAACAATACATTTTAGAAAATATTGTATATTTATACAGGAGGAATTACAGAATGGGTTTCCACTCATATTAATATCACTGATGAGCATTTCTTAGGTCCTTTATTTTATTAGGGATGTGACTTCCGAGTATCTTAACAGTCTTTCTTCATTTATTAGCTAGGATATCTCTATGTCATTGATTTAGTCACTGTGAGGTACAATTCTTACAGCGGAGGTAGGATAAATTGTTGATATTTTCACATGTATATATCAGTTACCAAACACTGTGGTGATTGCCTAGCATCCTCTAAAGGTGACCATTAAGTTAATTTTTAAATATACTGAATTTATGGATTTAATTTAAAGACAGGTCATGTATTAATCCATTACTATTTTATTATTGGTGCTTTAATAGTTCCATTTTTGATGAGTGCACGCCTCTTTGGGTTGGCTCTTGAATCCTTTTGACACAACCCTAGTAATCTGTGATTTTGGAAAGAATAAAATGTTCCAGAATCATCATCTGCATTTCTTACACCCAACCTGGTAATCAGGCATTTCTCAGTGATTACTGATTCTTTTTCATAGGAAAGAGTAGAGACCATAATCTGGTTGTAGTGATAGATTATTTAAGGTCATATAGTCAAAAGTAAGATAAGAAACAAGTATAAAATAAGAATCTAGTCCTGGTCTACTAATTTTCCATTTATACAGAAGTGGAAAGGTTAAAGAACAGTTTAAATTCAAAATAATGAAAAATCTAAAGGGAAGTTTGACTTCCATTTGTTATGTTTTTATAACAAAATTGACTCCTCAGATTATGTTTCTGTAGACTTCGTTTGGCCTTGTCTGGGTCCTTCCTCCACTTTATATAGTGGGAGGTTGTACTTCCCTATGTGCTGATTTATTAAAGCAAAGCCTGCTAGCTATTAAAATTTCATAATAATTTCAAGTCCGTCCACAAATCAGTAAAAGTTCAATATACAGCCTCAAGTCATCTGAACAGTTTGAAATTAGCAAAAACAAAGTGAAAACCTCTTGTTACACATAGAACACCTCTTTCTTAGAACGTGTCTTTATCTGTGCAGTAAAGAGTTGGCTGGAGAATCTTTTTTTCTCTCTCCTTCCTTCCTTCCTCCTTTCCTTCCTTCCTTCCTTCCTTCCTTCCTTCCTTCCTTCCTTCCTTCCTTCCTTCCTTCCTTTCTTCCTTCCTTCTTATGATTTTTTTGAGACAGGATCTTGCTTTGTAGGCAGAATGGTTTTGAACTGCCTTATTAGCTGAGGCTGGCCCTGAATTCACTGTGATCCTCCTGCCTCAGCCTCCCCAAGTGCTGAGATTATAGGCATGTGCCACCACACCTGGCTGTGGGAACTGTTTGTAAGATCTGAGTCTATTGAAGTAAACCTTTCTTTTATTATTATCTGAATGGTTCATTTTGTTTGTCATTCTTTTTATTCATCAAATATTTTTCAGCCACTCATTAGGGGCTAGGCAATATTTTAGGTGGTAAAAATACTGAGGGGAAATTCCCCATTTGGCAGCTTTCATGCCCTCCTCAGAAGAGGTATTTCCCTCTCCTATACTTTTTATGGGTCCGTAGAAATAACAGTCCTAGCACTCAGCTAAGTGCTTCCTGATCTCTCCCATTCTGAGAAATGAAGCCCTGAACATCATTATTGGTATTTGCCTACACCACCAACAGTTTGTAAACTTCCTGACATTCTGAGGAACTTTTTTTCACTACCTTTCCTGTGAATGTAATTTTTAGTTTAAAGTTTTCCTTAGTTAGATCATTTTTGGTGATAAAATATAGAGATAAATTCAAATTCTGTGTTTCATTTGCGTCTTTTACAGCTTCTCACCTATTAAAAATGTAATGGTACTTATGGTAACCAGAGCTAATGGAGTGTATCATGTTTATCTTGTATTTTATTATCTTAGGAGGATATAAATGATCTGCCTTATCACATTTTCTACGCAGCAGTTTCATTGAAATGATACCTTGGTAAAAATACAGACGTCTACAAAAATCACATTTTCCTTACTTAAAAGTTGAATCTATTTTAATCTCATATACGAAAACTAGTCAGGAATTTGTATTAAAATGAAATTGAATGGAAGGAAGCACAATTCCAATAACAAGAATTTTTTTTTTTAAAGGAGATCAGTTAGTCTTTCAGCTTGCAAGGATGCCATTTAGGACAGCATATTTTGTATTCTGTAAATACTTAAAAGACATAGTTACTTCATAAAGTTTATTACCAAGGATTTATGAGTGTAGAGAGAACCTGTTATATGATAAACTAAGATGCTGGCTGTAAGTTCCATTGCAATCCTCGAATGACATTCAGTGTTTTAGATTCTTACAGTGATAGGATGGAATGATGATGGTGGTTGCCACTGTCCCTCCAGTGTGTGATGCTCTAAATGTTCAGTTGTGTTTCCTTTGTATAGCATACATTTTTCCCAGGTGACTTTTGAATAAGAATGAACTCCCTCAGAAAAAACTCCCTGTATAGTAGATGCTGTTGGCATGCCTGCATTTACTCCCTGTCACAGAATAGCTTTTTTTCCTAACTCTCCTACTTTCCTAAAACCAACTTAGATACACTTTGGTAATGACTGTACGTACAGTTTGTCTTCACCTTATACTCAGTGAAGTAAGAAAAAACATTTTTTTTGCTTCTTTGTTTTGTTTTTTTGGGATAGTCTCACTATGTAGTGCCCCTGACCTTGAATTTGCGTATGTATTCCAGGCTGTCTTCAAACTCATGATGATCCTCCTGCCTCAGCCTCCTGAATGCTAGGATGACAGGTGTGCACCACCATGTCTGGCAGAATTTTTTTTTAGTTAGTATATGTTTGCAGTACATAATGATACATTTCACTGCAGAGAGTTGATATATGCACATAACACATTTCAGTTCTTTTTTCCCCTTTCTTCCAACCCCTTCTAGTTTTCCAGTATCACATTGATTTATTTAGTTTATAAGACTTTATAAAGTACCAGGCATGGTGGCGCACACCTGTAATCCCAGCATATAGGAGGCTGAGTCAGGAAAATTCTTGCAAATTCAAGTACATAATGAGTTCAAGGCCAGCTTGAACTACAAAGTGAGACCCTGTCTAAAACACAAAAAGACTTTATAAAGCTAATTGTCATATATACAAATTGAAAACCAGACCAGTAGGCCAAAGAATATATAAAACATGTAAGATAATTGTGCTAAGTCAAGATGCATTAATTAGCTTTTGTAATAGCTAACCAAAATATTTTTCTGCATACATAGGAGATTTAAGCATGTTCCTGTAGGGCTCCTCTGTTCCTAATAGCTGTTGGGCACTTAAAATTTCTGGTCTGAACTGAGATGTGCTGTTAATGTGCATAACATGAGATGTGCTATTATGTGTAAAATACAAACTAGACTTTGAAGACAGTACAAAAAAAGATTATAGAATATCTCAGATTGTTACATTGATTACATGTTAAAGTGAAAATATCTTAGATATATTGGGATCACATAAAGTATACCATTAAAGTTAATTTTACCCTTTTTACTGTTGTCAGTGTGGTTTCTAGAAAATGTTAAATTATACTGGATGTGGCTCACGTTATGTTTCTACTGGGTAGTGCTGCCCTACAGCAGTGGAGAACTGATCATTATATAAGCAGTAAAATCCCTATTTTCGCATAACACATAGTTCTACTCCAAATCTTATTCCCCAAAATTCGATGGTCTGAACTACATGTAGTTGTTAGTTGGCCATGTGGCTTGGAAGTACCATACGTGCCTCATGAGTTCACTTTGTACATGTAGACACAGTCAGTGTCATTACAATGTTATGCCTGGTGCCATTCAAAAAGGCTTACTATTAACATGAATGAAACTATTGCCACTGTGACAGAATACTATATTCAGGATCTAAAAAAAAAAAATTAATCTTGTAAGGATTACTTCATGGATCTTTAACTGTTAGCTTTGTAAATTAATATTATATAGCAAGGAAATGTTAATGAAGAAAACCTGTTTTGCTGCAGTAAACACTGTTACAGTTTTACTACTTTAACTGATAACGCTGTAATATGTATAAATATTAGAAAAAAACATGCTTTACTGATTCAGTTTTATTACTGTTGGAAATACAGTTAACATAATCCACATTAAAGTTATGACATGCTGTACTTGTTTTATTACAGATTTTAAGATGTATATAAAAGAAAACTCACTTAAATTGAGATAGATCAAAACAAGTTATGTTTTAATTTTATAATTTAATGTGAGTGCTCTGTGTAAAACTTATAAAGCATTCTTTCTAAAAACTTTGTAGAGTTTGAATATTGAAATTCTGAAAATTATATATTTTAAATTTCAAATGATGAGCATTATAATTACATCTTGTGTGAATGTGGTAGCTAAGCAATGAAACATTTCCTTTAATGATTAGAGAAAGATTTTCTTTTAAAACAGCAATGTTTATTTTAATTTTTAGGAAACCAGAATTCGGGCAATGGAAAAAGATGCCAAGAAAGGAGTCCATAACTTCTCTGTCATTAACCCTCTTGCTGGACAAGCTGTAACTCATGTTTTTGCAGTTGACAGTAGAGCAGACCTTCAGAAGTGGATGGAAGCTTTCTGGCAACATTTCTTTGATCTTAGTAAGTAGATATTTGTATTTTCTAGTAGTATATTTATGTATCCTAAAAGGTTACACACATTTTAAATATTAAAATCGTAACCTTAAGAGTTTGTAGTGGGAATTTTTGATGCTCTTTAAGAAAATGGCAGTGTGTCATCAGGGCACTCCTCTCTTCCTCCTGTTCTCTTCTCAGGGCCTGTCTCTCCTGTAGTACTACTCTGAATGCCTACTATCCCTTCCTCGTGCATTACCACTCCTCTGGTCACTGAACAACCAGATAACGTGTTCTCAAAATACTAGGTTTTATCTGCATAAGGCAATGTGTGTGATCCAAAGCATAAGAGAATTGAGAAGCAAAATTCTTTTCCAGGACAGTGATGATCCTAAAATATTGAAACATTCAGAAGGAGCCTCGTTTTTATGTAACCTGTAAACTCCAGATTCATTATAATACCATTTTGAATATGATTCAGAGTTACTTTTTTTTTAATCTCACATATGGTTTCTTTATCTTACTAATAGTGTCCAGCGGCATGGATTACAAAAATAGCATGTTGTTAATGTAAATAGTGTTCTTTAATTTTCAGTGTAAAGCTTTTTCTGTTTGCTTTATTTTGTTTTTTAGACAGGGTCTTACTATGTAGTTCAGGCTAGCTTTAAATTCACTAGGTAGCCCAGTCTGGCCTCAAACTCATGGGGATCCTCCTGCCTCAGTCTCCTGAGTGCTGAGATTACAGGCATGTGCCAGCACACTTGGCTTTAAAGAATTTTTACTCAGAGGAAAATATTTAAATTGTAGCAGTTACTTGTATTTATTGATAGTAAATTTAATGGCATACTTACGATGTCTGTAGAACGATATTCTATAGAATTACAAAGTAGAGCCATTTCCATACAATGAAAAGTTATTTCTGTAAGTCATAGAAATAATTCTAGAGACAATTTAGTGATTTTATTTTCTAGGACACCATAAAGAGTTAATACTGGCAGTCCTCAGGTTAATTTTTTAGGCCCCTTCTGATCCATGGTTTTATCAGGTTTTTCAGTGAAGATTGGAAGGAGGAAGAAAAACGGCTAAATTTTTTATTACCTCCCATGAGCTCAGTGCTTCATTTATTTCTCATGACAGTCCCCGTGGGTTAGAAGTTATTTCACTGTGCTCTAAAGAAAAGAAAACTGAGGCCTGAGGAGGTTTCTGGTTCATGACCTCAAGCTGGAGTAGGACCCTTATGTAGCCTTGAAATCTTCAGGGCTTGTTTTCCGTAAGTACCATCCCTAGGTACTCAGTACATGTTTAAGTGTTTGTTCCATGTTTATACAATATATTCTTTATTTCAAAATTCAACAGATTTCAGTGGGTAGCATGAATGACACCTTCATTCATGGCTAGTTTCATTTTTTATTAGGTACAGGTGTGCAGTACAGAATGCTACATTCATCAGGGGAAATAGGTGCATGTGCACAACACACCTTAATTCTTTTTACTTCCCCTGCCCCTCGACCTCTTCCCCCTGTCCATCTCTAGGTCCCTTGCCCATTTGCAAAAGATCTGTCTCCCTGGTTCCCACTGTCTATCCTTTGTTTTGCTCTTTACAGTGTCTCAGCATGCATCCATTTTCCTACAGATCACTCCCATTACCCTTTGTGGCTAAGTAGTACTCCACTGTGTAAATATACCGCATCTCTTCTATCTGCTCATTCACTTTTAACTGCTTTCCTGTTTACTCTGACTTGGAGAGTCTGTCTTACAAAAGGCTGTCCTACTTTTAAAAACTTCTAAAATTCTGGTATTTTACACTGTCTAGGTGCATAAAAACAGAAAGGAAGGGTATGTAAAGATAATAATGCCAAAATATTATAGTTGCTTTTAGGATATCAGTTACTTTTGGGAATGGTCTCACCTTCTAGATTGTCTGACATACTTTATGCTAAAGTAGGGAGTGAGAAAGATTCAGATTTTATGACATTTTACTGTCAGTAAGAAAGTGATGGCAACTTGGTTCTCAGGTCTGTCTACTTCTTTGGTATTTAATACTTCATAGGATAAAAACTGCCAATCTATGTAATTTTTTTAATATACAAATTCTATTACATTTTTAAGTCTATTCAAAATTCATTATGTATGGAGATAAGAGTCAAAGATGAAAGTGTTTATTCTGTCCTAAATGTTGACTTGTACTTTAAAAGTTTTATTTTCCTAGTGACAAGCATAGTTTACTATGATCTTACTTGCAGAGTGGTATATAGAACAAAGCAGAGGAAGACAGCAAGAGTGGAATAATGTAAGACTAATTTACTATTTGGGACACATTTCACCTCTTTGGCCACACTTACGAGTGGAAAGCCAGGGGGTGAGAGACTTAGAATTCACAGGGAAACGCTGATGGAAGCGGCTTGTGTGGCTTGGAAAAGAACAGCAAAGGATGGGGGTTAGGAGGCAGGAGGGGCAGAATTACGATTTCTAATATTTGAGGGCTAATGAACATTTAAAGGGAGAAGGACATTTGCTCTGGAAAGCTAGTAGGGATGTGGATAGAAATGGGAGATGGAACATACAGAGTTGAAGTAGACTTGGAGCAGACATCAGGGTATTTTTCCCAAATTTGTAATATAAATATTGACCTACATTAGCAGCTTAGCAAAGTAGATCATTTTTAGTGGAAACATTATAAATAGTACTGTGGAAAACATCTTCAATATATAGATGGCTATGTGAACAAAGCAATTCCATTTAATATTTCATATAGGTCTCTTTTCTTGTTAGAATACAGGCTATCATGTATACCTATGCCTGCAAACTTCCTGGCAAAATCAATGTTTCAGTTGTAAAGTCTGAACCAGTGCACATATGACATTTGTACCTCTGACATCAGCAACTTGTAGAACAATGGGCATTATGTTCCAATTTTCAATATGATTAGTATTCTGTTACTAGTTTAATAATGAAATGGTTTTATCTATCAATATACACAAAATATTGTATTATAACTTGTCTAAAACTGTGACAGAAAAATATTTGCCAGTTTAAAGTGAATTATTTCCTAAGGGCTTTTCCTCCCCTCTGCTGCCAAGAAGAAAAAAAAATCCTGCCTTTGATTATATTTATCTATAAAAGGAGATGGGAGAGAAATAAATTGTCAGATCTCAGAGCCTACTGGGTTTAAATTCTGAAGAGCAACCTTTGAAGCCTTGTACTCGGGAATTTATTTCCTCTTTGAATTGCTGTATGGGTTATTTTGCAACTTTTATGCATCATAAGAAAGCATACTGTAAGGTTTTTTTATGTTTCTTAACTAGTTAGGTAATAGATTTAAAATTTATGCACATATTATCATTTTTCCTTGACAGTATGTTCAAGTATAAACAGCAAAAGTAAATAATTTAAGTTGACATGAAATGTCTACTTTTTTAAGCTGTGGGAAATGACTAAATTGAATATTGAATATGTATATTGAGGATATGAAATATAGAAGAGACATGTAGAGCACAAATTAGTATCAAAACTTTTCTACTGTTATAAAATATAAAAGTGGGGGACCTAAATAATATTTTTTATTAGTTTATAGACACATAGTGTCTGGCGTAGATTTCATCCAGCATGCAGGTGCACAATAAATTTGGTAAAATTAAATTTTTTTGATATCTAGTCAGGAGAAATAAATGTGAATATTTTAAGGTTGAAAGAATGAAACATAATTAAAAGAAAAACTAGTGTATATATTTTAAAATTTTAACTTAACAGTTGAAACAACTTATTCCTATATTGCTTTTATTTTATTCCGTATTGTTAATGGCTTTATTTAAAGTGTTTCCTAAAACAAATTAGACTCAGAATTTTATTTAATGATTTTTATATATCTTTGGCATAAGCAAATATACAATGTTTTCCTAGGGTTAGATTATTTTGAAAAGCATGATAATTATTTTAAAAGTGTTTGTTAAATCTTATTTCGTAAGATTTTCAAATTAAAGGTATTTTTGAGATCCACCATTTCTTATGCTTTTTTCCTACTTCTAAGCAACTATATTTCCATTGACATTCACCCTTCAACTATTGAGTACTAGATGTTTTTTAGTTTAATATTTGAAAGAAGAAAACCTGCACAGACTTTTGCCATGACTGTTAATTTTAAGGCAAATTGTCGACTGTTTAGCAAAATAGTGACAAATAGCCTAGAGATCTTAATACTTGTACATAAAACTTTATTTTTTGAATAGATTATTTATATGAGCAGAATTGGGCTTTAAATTATGGATAATACAAGAATTTTTTTTTAAGCTTCCTTAAGACCATGCTGTATTTATGAAGTCACTGTTATTTCTCAAAGCAAAAAAGTATTGGTATCTGTTAAAAATGAAATGTATATCTTTATATTTATGTTTTAAACTAGCCTGTCTTTCTCTTTTTTAGGCCAGTGGAAGCATTGTTGTGAAGAACTTATGAAAATTGAGATTATGTCACCACGGAAACCACCTTTGTTCTTGACAAAAGAGGCAACCTCAGTCTACCATGATATGAGTGAGTGGGGTTTGTCTTTTCTAAGCTGCAGGATAACAAAACCAAATTGTCCATGCTCAAGCTGCTTATTCTATTGATATTAAACTGCTAAAATGAATGAAAAAAAAGACTATGATCATAAGCTAAGGAGCTCATGTTTAATAGATGAATTAATACAAAATTAATGAATGCACATTTTTCATAATTTGAATGCTCAAAATCAGATAAAGATTTTAAGATTTAAAATGAATAAAGTCACTGAAAATAAATATTAGCTGAATAGTTGATAAAATTCTGAAAATACAAACTTGCAGATTCTAAAAATGTAATCATAGTACTTTTTTCTGTATTTTATTGAATTTATTTTTAAGTCGTTTTCGTAGATAAGTATTCATAAATGGAAGCTTTCATCTCTGGCCAAAAATAATTAAGTCTATTAATTTAGAAAATTTTATATTCTTAACCTATTAATATTCCATTTTCCCATACTTTCAAAAGGTGTGTGTTTAACTCTGTGGGAATTGTCTTAGTGAGTAATGTTGTGTATAAGTGCAAATCCACAGTAGCTTCTCTTCTAACTTGCCATTAATGTACCTGCAGTTATACATACTTTACACTGTTAGATTAGAAATAATTTGTTTAGGTTTACACATTTGAAAAATACCAGTAATTCATCCAGTAGACATTTATCTCTGTTCCCTTATTTTTTCCAAGGAAAATTTTTGGGTTTCTTTGGGACAGGGTCTCACCATGTAGTTCAGGGTGGCCTCGAACTCACTGTATAGCCCAGGCTAGCCTGGAACTCACAGAGATCCGAGTGCTGGGATTATAGATGTACACAACTGTGCCCTGCTCCAAAGAAAATGTCATCCAGCACTCTCATCACCAAAATGGTGTAAGGGCCTTACTCTCTTCCCTGGGTATTTTATTTGATGATTTTTGTTTTGTTTTGTTTTTTCACCTTATCAGAGACTTCTGGTCTACAAGAAAAATTACTGATTAAGTTGTAATTATCACAGCTTGTATATCAAGCTTTCCTAAAAGTTGAAATACAATTCAAATCCAAAAAAGTTTTCTAATACTTAACCTACAGAATTTTTTGAAGTACTCATATATCTCCTCTTTATGCAGGAATGTTTTTATACAGGTGAGTATGTGTTATGTGTATTATATATTTTGTATACACTAGGTATTGTGTGTGTATAATACGGGTTTTGGTTCTATTGATCAGTTACTTTTATAGGTAAACGTTTTATTGGTTACCCTACTCTAAGTTTTTGATGGTCATTATAGATAACTTACTAGTTTGGGAAATAATAACTTAATTAAAGTGCAAACTCTTGAATTTTTCCCATCTATTTTTTCCTTAAAATTATTGCAGGCATTGATTCACCTGTGAAACTTGAAAGTTTAACTGACATAATACATAAAAAAATTGAAGAAACAAATGGGCAGTTCCTTATTGGTCAGGATGAAGAGGTCTCACCACCTCCTTGGGCCACAATATTTGATGGTAATCATAAAATGGTTATCCAGAAAAAGGTACTGTCTCCTGCAGGCGAGCAGCCACATGACGAGAAAAGGAAAAAGAGACGAGCTCCCCTTCCTCCTCCTGATAGACCTCCATTCAGCTTAAACACACAGAGCAACACAGATCAGTTGGGTAAGGACAACTGGGGAAACACAAGTACATCTCAGTCCTTGCCTTTGGATACCAGACTGTCAACCCTAAAGCATCACTTACAGAAACCAATCGCTGCTCCTCGAAAACTTCTTCCTGCCAGGAACAATAGTTTAACTGATGGTGAGCACACAGACACTAAAACCAATTTTGAAACTAAGCCAGTGCCAGCTCCAAGGCAGAAATCCATCAAAGACATTTTGGATCCTCGATCATGGTTGCAGGCACAAGTATAGAAAACCCTTCCTGTATAAAACATTGAACAGAATGTACCTGTGAGGCCTAATTCAGAGGCATTGTGAATGTTGTAATGTTGTACAACTTTATAGGTAAATATGGTAGTGACTTACATAAATAAGAAGCTGTTACGTACAGAAAAAATTTTTATAATGAAATAGATTTTTATTTCTGATTTTCAGAATGTAAGTGGTTTTCCCTGTAGAGTGTAAGAGGCAGTTTCTAGACAATACCCTAATTGTTGGAAGGGTTAATTTATTCCCAAATTAGTACCAAGCAGTGAATAAGCGCTAAACAGAAGAAACCATTAACATTACTTTTGGGGAGAGGCTGTGTGGTAATTTAAAATGTTAAATATGAGCTGTATTCTCATTGTGAGAATTTAAATACTAATGGAATGTTTCAAAGGTTTTATTCAAACCACAAATTATAGAATCCACCCAAGAAAGTTTTCTTCTTCGCATTCTGGAATTCTCATCTAATGGTTCACTGGCTCTCATCTATTGTTTAACTCACTGGTTTATAGGCTTGACCTTTTAAATTCCTGGGATAAATTTTGGAATATTAAATTCTTTGTCTTTAAAGGGAATTTGTAATGTGCTATTCAAAGTCATTTCCTTGATGAGCCCTGAAATCCTGTTGACATTAACTCTCATAAGTGAAGCATAACATTTATTAGTTCAGAAAAATGGTAGATGAAATGTTCTTTACATCCATCCACTTTTGTGTGTGTGGTACTAGTTTCCATTATGACTTTGGAATTTCAGGAAGTGAGTAGCTGATTAACACCTTAAAATTTAATACTTATTTGAAAAACAGATGGCAGATTTTAAAAAAATCATAAAAGTTGGCCATGGTAATAATTTTCAGAATTAACCCTTTTAAAATTTTCAATTAGTTTCCTTTTTCTGGTAAGGGTTGATGTGTGCTATTGATACTATTCATTAAAAGTCATATTCTTACAACAATAACATTGGAATCATTTCCATAGGAGGTAATTTCCATAGCAACTAATCGCAGGGACCCAAATAAGATTATGAAATCAAGTGAGGAATAAATAACAAGAGGATGAGTATCTCAGAGGAATAAAAAAGTTCATTTTTATAATAACACTTCTTGTAAACAAGAGGGGAACAGTTTTTAAAAATCTAATCAGAATTTCCAAATAAAAGTTTCCATAAGGTGTCAGCAACAGCACTAAAAATCTCAAATCACACTGAACCCTAAATGTCATTGCAAGTAAAAATATAAAAAATTACTGCCCCATGTATAATCTCTAGAGATCTTTTTTTAAAGCTAGAAAGAGCTGTATTTGGATCACAGCTATATTATTGCAAAATAAAATGAACACTTGACCAAAAAAAGCATTAATTTAAATGGAGCCTTCATTATTTTTAGACAGCACAGTCTTTTTTTCATTTATAAAGCATGATGTAACTGCCAGATTACTTTGAACCTGACAAAAGATCTCTTGCAACTGACTAATGACATCAGGGCAGACATGGCATTTGGTGAGAAGAAAGTGACCTAAAAAGCTGATTATTTTTTCCACTGGAAGGGTCTCATAAATATCTCTTGCAATTGCCATTTCATTAAATAACATATTCAAAACCTAAAGGATATTATTTGAATTTTTAATTTTTTTATAAACTCATTGCTGATTTTGACAGAGTTATGATTGTCATTGCCACTAAATTTTTCAGCTAAAAGATGCTGCAGGCAAAATTGTTTATGATATTGGCACCTAAGCATTCCTTTTTTTTTTCCTAGTTGATACCTTCCTTTATTACAAACCAGTATTAAAACTTCCAAATTATATTCTTGTCATTTCTCCTGATGTAAATTATAGCAGGAAGAATTTAAGTTGTACAGGAAAGAGAATTTACTCATAGAGAAATTATCTAGCATCTGTGTTCTCAGAAGAGAACTTTGAAGCAGCCCTGAAGCCCTTCCTAGAACCATTTAGGTGAAGCCTGCCTGTGCGCCGCCCTCCTGACTGCTCACCCCTCCTCCCTGCATTATTCTTCCTGTTTCTGGGAACCATCTTCCTGTGTGCTAGAGTCTTTAAGAATCAGCCAGCAATCTCAGCCACGTCTTGTGATCTTTGTGCCCATTAAATGATAATTCACCTGCTCCCTAAAAAGGGAAGTTAGACAAAACTGGATTTTGTTTCTTCCTTTTCTCATTCTTTTCCTGTCTCTCTCCCACTTCCACTTTCCTTCCTTTGCAATTTAAAAAAAAAAAAAATCTAAAAGTACTGAGTAACACACTGTCAAAGTATTCATCAAAGACATTTGTTCTCTCATTTCCTGAACCAGAGGCTTATGACGGAGAAATATGTCACGTAACATGAAAGTTTTCAGGTATTTTATGAGCTGGCTTTTCACATTCCATGTTTGTCCTTTTAATTTGTCTCTCAGTGTATGAAGACTATAAACTTGAAACAGAGTTTGCTGTCAGGTCTTGATATTATAATTGGAGGAGGACAATAGGAAAAATAGATATTTAATGGTATAATTTTGATGATTTCAAGGTAATGTCTTAGACAATTTACATTTCATGTTCTAGGATATAAATTTCTTACAATAGCATTTAAGATAGTATTATTTTTAATTGCTACAAAATGGTAAGTTTTTTTTATTTTAACATCTTGCAAGGACAAAGAACTTTTTTCATTATAAATGCATACTTCCTAAGGTAAATATCAAGCATGCCATGTCTTGCTGAATTTTGTCAAATCCTCCTTAACTGTCTGCATTGCCCCCTAACTTCTTTTAAATGGATGTGAATGTATGTGGAACACTAAATCCATTTATTATAAAGGCCTTATCTTTACCCTTTAGGATACCACTAAATGTATTTTACCTGGTACTGTTAATTAAAAATGGAAGCTGCCTTGATTTAGAGACAACTCATGTAAGATAGGTGAAGCAGTCAAGTATTTCTTTAGGCTTATGGGCAGTACCTCAGCCACCTACTGTGAAGTTAATTAATTCAGTCCAAAATGAAATTATAAGGCAGTTTGGTGCAGTTTATGTTAAATGCCATTCGAATGTAATCATCTGTTACTGTGAATGAGGAAAAACCATATTAGATAGAGAATGCTGTACCAGGAACAGTAAGGGAAATGCTTTTGCAGGACAAAACTCTCTGGTCAGAATTTATCAGAACTCAATTATTTTTTCAGAGTGAATTATTGAATAGTAATTAAACTTTAATTAATGACCATTTGTGTTCTAATAGTTGTCCTCATTGTCCTATTAAGCTATAACGTAAATGGAGTTGACTTTTTGTACTTAACATTTCAAGGCATTGCTTTTTAAATGTTTACATGTTTATATTTTACTTCATTATAATAACAGTTATATGAAAACTATTCTGGATTATGCAATTTCCTAGTTAACCCTGGGAAAGGTATTTGAGTTTTTAAAAGGCAGAATTTCATTTGAAAATATACTGGGGAGTTGTCTTCTGACATGCTTGTATAATTAGCATTGTTTATAATTTTTTAATTAAATGATAAAATTTCTATATTAAAAAGTATTAATGTTAAAATGTTAAACATATTTGGTAAAGAAGCCTCTCATGCAATTAAAACTTCTGTACATTACAGGAACTGATTCATGCATTTGTTTTGTTTTGTTTTGTTTTTTCTATGAGACAGTGTCTTGGTCTGGCTGTGTAGTGCAGGCTGGCCTCAAACACACAGCAGTCCTCCTGCCTCTGCCTCCCAAACGCTAGGATTACAGGCATACACCACCACACTCAGCAATGGGGATATTTTTTAACATTTTTCCTTAGAATCTCCCTCTGGGCTAGACTGATAGAAGTGGACAGTGTAGTGGAATCATTTTAGAGAAAGACTTAATGGTCGTTGGCTACTTCTCAGAAAACAAAGACTCTGATCACCTTGGTATATTTCACACTTCTTTGCATATTATCCTTCTTAAAGTGTGCATACTCTGAAGTATCCATTGATGCCACCCTGTTTTTAGGTCAGTGATCCAGAATTTCCAGAGTTCAAGTCACCATGAGAGACAGTTCAGGTGCCCGGTGTGTTCAGTCACCCTCAGCTGCAAGGAAACTTCTTACTTTAATTCACCTCCCATGATCCACCTCAGTGCGAGTGTTTCCTCACGGAGCACTTGGGAAAGGGCCAGGGCAGAAGTGAGCAGCCCTGGCGTAGTCACAGTCGGCGTTTACTTCGAAGTCTGTAGTACAATTAGAAATATTTGACATTTCTTTTTAGAAAAAAATCTTTCCTTTCTCTAAAGAAAGGAGCCTACTAATCAGTGTACTAAGATAAACAAAATACTTTAAGGTTCAGTTAAGAAAGGAAAACTATTTTAGAAATGTCTAAAAACATTTTTCCTTCTCTGAGTATAGGAAAAAAATACCAATCCTGACATATTTGATAATTAAGTAAGATTATGCCAAATTGTACTGAAAATTGTTTTGCAGTTGCAGCAGCTTGCTTTTAAGAGCCGTGGGACTCTGTTAATGTAACTATTAAGTGAAAAGTAGGTTGGAGAGATGTTACATGTTCATAATTACGCTGTACCACAGGCGTGTTTCAAGATATCAAAATAAATTTTGTTGAAAATTGTATACTTTTCTGTGTTACATCTAAATATTTTTATGGTTTTTGTCAATTGTAAAGGAAGCAAATTTTCTTTTGTTCTTTGTGAATAGATGCATTTTTTAATTTGCTATCCTAATATTTAACTTAATTCATTATAGGAATTTATAATTCTATTTTAGAAGAAAAGGACAAAATAGAAAACTAGATAATATAAACATACATATTCATACAAATACTTTGTTTGATTCTTCATGCAGGTATTTGCACTTAGTTTTAAAAGATTCTTTTAAAATGTGCTCCTAATGGTACCAGAGCGAAGGTCCAGCCACTCTCAGTTTGCGGGCTGCATCGCAGCCCCACTCCCCACCGTGCTCTGCCGGCCAGGTCCCCGCCTGCTTTCCCAGAGGTGATGCTGCCACCCTCTGTGTTCTTCTCCATGTCTGGGACCCCACTCTTCGCTGCTCTGCATAAACCTCCCACAGTCAGCAAATGTTGGTCTTCCAAATAGTGCGCCTTTAAATGTTCCGGTTCCCCATCCACCGAAGTAGAGTTACATTTCTTCTTTTATGTGTACAGTATGCATAAAACGTGTGCATATGTGTTTGTGTATGATCCCTTGTTTATACTTTTGTATTCTCCTGTGTTTGTTTTCTGAGTGACGTGTTATTATAAACTAGTTCACAACATTTCAGAAGTCTGGGTAGGCTCAATGGGATATAGTGCTACGGTTTTAGAAGGCAGAAATTGAGGTCCTAGCCGGGCTTGACTCTTATCTGGAGGTTCTGGGGAAAATCCACTTTCCAGCTTACTCAGATTGTTGGCAAAATTCAGTTCCTTGTGGCCCCTTCAGTCTCCAAAGTGAGCAATAATACCCCCAGTTTTCCTTGCATGTTGGATCTCTGATTTTTCTGCCCCGTGGAAGAGCATGCTTTGCTTTTAAAGGCCCCATTACCTCAGAGATGCTCATCAGGGTCTCACTTGTGATGAACTCAAGGTCCATTGATTAGTAACTTTAGTTACTTCTGGAAAGTCTCTTTGCATATTCTATAGTACCATATGTGATACCATATTTATACGGCAGGAAATCTTGAAGTGCCTTTTCCAGAAATCTGCCCACCATACCCTGTTAGGCGAGGAGCTTGTTTATTGAACTTTTAACCCTATATCACAGTGTATTTTAATGATAGTAAGGATTGCTGAGTATTATGTGTGTATGTGTAAGATACTGTGCTAAATATTTTAAATGAACAAACGTTTTTATTTTATTTTTTGGTGGTGGCACTAGGGATTGAATCCAAGGCCTTCCCATTGAGCCACACACCCTCCTTTTTTGAGACAGTTTCGGTAAATAACCCAGGCTTGGTTTGAACCTGCAGTCACAGCGCCCCCGAGCACTAGAAATGAATCAGTTTATTTAATCACTGCTGTAACTTCTTGTCAGCTCCACTTAACAAGTATCGGAGAGTGGAGAAGCCGTGCCCTGGACATACTGCACAGCGTCTGGAACTTGACCCTGGTTACATTCCAGTTCTGCCATGACTTAGCTGTGTGGTGGGGCTGGATATTTTCTTATAACTTCATTTGGTTTGTTTAAATCTCTAGGATAAAAATTGTACTTACCTCATAAGATAGTTGTGTTTCTTAAATAAGATAATCAGTGCAGCGCGTAGCTTAGTGCCTGGTACTTAACAGTTGTTGCCTTGTTTTTACAGCAGCATAACGTATGTAAAATAGATGTAAAAAGATATATAGCTAGCTAATTAATACACACATACACTCGATGACTGAAAGTTACTTATAAACCCTTGCCCATTTTCATTTGTTGCTCATTGTGAACACATTGTCTCGCATTGTAGTAAGTAAGACTAGCCATAGTAGAGAATATTGAATCTGTCTGGATGCAGACATTTAAAACAGTGTCTACCATTAGGAAACAAATTCTGACCATTATAGAATACATAAATAAAGCAATGTGGATTATACAAAACAGTAGCCGCTATAACACGCATCTAATTTTAAGTGCTCCGAGAGATCAGAAAGGAAATGAGAACTTTTACAAAGCAATTTTTCCATTAAGTTCAGAAGGCCTTGTATCTTTTTACTCTAAAAATAATAAGCAGTGTGGAATTATGTATGATTATCTTGTGATGATGTCAGGACACATAATAGGATTTTGTTTTGGTTTTGAGACAGTCTTGCTATATATAGTCCAAGCTGGGCTTGAACTCACTGTGTAGTCTAGGTTGGCCTCAAACTTGTGATGATCCTCTTGCCTCACCACCCCACCCCAGTGCTGGGATTACATCCATGTCCATCACACCCACTTTATAATAGGATATTTTAGATTTTAGAGGTTTAAGTAAGATAGACTACTCATTCAGTGGGTTCCTGGAGGAGTTTAATTTTTCAGCATTCAAAGGAGCTTAGTATGGAAGTTGAGAAAAGGAGTCAATTAAATAGGGTAGGCAGCTGGGCAGAAATATAATTAGCACATTGTGCAGGTTCAAATCAAGATAGGTGAAACAAGTCTGAATAACTGGAGCAAGTGCAGTGATTAATGTTATGGTTAACCTTCGCTATCAACTTGATTGGCTTAAGAGATCCCTGGGAGGCTGGGAGAGCGCTTCTGGCTGGGTGGATCATGGGTGGGATGGGCATTGGGGTGTGACCTTGGGACTACGGTCCTTAGTCCCTGACCCCTTTTTCTCTCGCTGTCCCCTGCTCTGCCTCCTGGCTGCTGTGAAGTGAGCAGCCATCCTCCACTAGGCCCTTCTGCCATGACGCTTCTGCCCCGGAGCCAGCTGACCGCACACCAAAACCAGGAGCCAAAATAAACCTTTGCTCCTTTGCATTGTGTGTGTCAGATATTTTGTCCCCACACTGAGAAGGTGATTTATACACAGGGAGTGTGGGCTGGCTTGGACGACACATAGGACCTTGAGTGCCAGCTTAGGAAAATAAAACAGGTTAAACAGTAGAAATAGGTGACAAGAGCACTAGCACTGGCAAAGTTAGTGGAAAGAATATGCAGCTTACAAGTTGAGGAAACTGGGTTCTAGTTCCTGGTTACCATTGGACAAAGCCTTGTTTGAGCTCAGCCTGGGAAAGTTAGTGTTAGCTCAGCGCAAAGGCCCTGGGTTCAATCCCCAGTATCCCCCTCCTCAAAAAAAAGGACTGAGAAAATAAAACATTGTTACAGCTTATTAGAACAGTCCTTTAGAGCAGTGATTTTGGGGTACAAAGTTAATTGCTACTTAGCTGTTTAGAAGTGTGGGTCTCAAGAAGGGGTGATGTTGCCCACAGGAAACATTTGACCGTGTCTGGAGACCTTGCTTACCTTCATAACCCACAGTGGAAAATGCTGCTTGCGTCTGATGGGAAGAGATTAGGAATGCTGCTCAGAATCCTGCAGTGCACAAGACAGGTCCCACAGCAAAGAATTACTCAGCCCGAAATACCAGTGGTGCCCCTGTGGGTAAACCCTGGCTTGGAATATACAGTTTCTACAGTGTTCAATGCAAAAAGCAATAAAATTAGTTTTCAAATATAGACAGTATAATGAGCACACAAAGGAAAGCTCTGGGAGGAACGTAAGAGGGCTTTTTGAAGGAAGTAACAGCTGAACTGGGTCTTGAAAGGCTTGTGAGACTGGGCTGTGCTGATAGGGAAAGGGCATTTGAGCAGGTACTGTGGTGACTGACACACTCCCTTCAAACATGGAGCCTAATTCTATCTTTCAAGGTGGGCCTGACTTTGTAGTAGAAATAATACCACATGACTTGTTATGTTAGGTCATAAAAGGATACCTTATACAGAGCTCTACCTCTCAGACCCCTCCCCGAGGGGAAAGTCAGAAGTTATACCCACACAGTCTTGGGAGAGCCCCATGTACAGAAGAGCTGCAGCCTCTCCAGTAACCAGTCCCAACCTGCTAGTGAGCTAGGTTGGAAGCAGACACTCAAGCCTAGGCATGACTCGAACCTCCTGACAAATTCCAAGCCAGACCACATGGGTTAGATGCACCTACATCCTTATTCCACAGTATCTGATTACAGGACAATAAATGTTTACTGTTTTAACCATTCGGTTTGAGAGTAATATATTTCCACAGCATAGGTAACATTAAGAGGAAGGAAAATGTATATAAGCACATGAAATGGTTTGGCTGTGCATGGCTGGAGATGGGGGAAATAGGGTTGCCTAGGCAAGTGGGGTCAGAGCATGGAAGGCACTGAATGTCAGGCTGAGTAAAGCTTCTGCCTCTTATTTAGAAATCTGCCCTGTGGGCCTTAGTCCATCCAAATCACATCTTTGACTGACTGTCAGAGGAAGGATGGCAGAGGGAGCTGCCGACCATATTGGGGATCACATGTGTTATTAAATTGTTTCTAATAGAAGAAAGAGCAGTCCGTAAATACCATCAGTACATAGAACATTCTTGGCTGACAGGACCTTTGTTTCAATTTTTGTCTTTGTAAGTATGCTTTGTCAATCTAAAGATGCTGAGAGGGTCCAGCTTCCCCTGACCTGATAAAGAAGAAACTTCATTATACGTCCAGGTCACTAATGTTACACTGTCTATCTGGATACTTGCCAGCTTTTTTGCAAGGGGAGGGTGATTTACTAATTGCATCCACCTGTGACATCTTAGCACGCCTATTTATCAGATTCGCTTTGCAGCAAAAGGGAAGGATAAGCCTGAAGGACTGTGAAGGGAGACCTAGGAGAGTGAGCAGATCGAAGGAAGGAAATGTAGAGGCCAAGGACAAAACTTCGTGACCTGCAACCAGGGGCTTTGAGAGGAGTGCATGATTCCTTCTGTGGGAAATTCTCATATACTCTCTCTCTCTCTAATCTGTGATGCCTAAGTGTTTCTTGAATAAATTATTATGAGAACAAAGGTGCCATTACCAATTTAGTCACTCAGTTTCTTTGGGAAATCAGAATGATGTGCTTGAGATATATTTCAATGACTTTGCTATATCATACAGCAAAGCAACCCAAGAAATTGAATTCAGTAAAATTTTGGAGCTATAATCCCACTTGAGACCAATTTCAACCCAAGCAACCACTAAAATAAAATAGAGGAAAAATCTGTTGTTAGGTTTTCCATGAACTTTTTGGGAAGCAGTCAAAACTGGTACTATCAGTAACATGTTTGGGGAAGAAGTATACTTAGGCAATGCTTCACTAGTACCTGTCCTATGTAGTACTCTGCTCGCTGCCTGGGCATCTAGGCTAGTCTGAAGAAGACAAAGGCTAGTCTGTCTCCTCAGACTGCAATTTATTTGGATTGATTCATGGAGTTCCATTACCAGGAAAAAACAATATGATGACTAGTAACCAGCAGTAAAGTCACAATTTTACAAAACACTTTGTCCGTAGAACCTATTTGCAAACAAACTCTTATGCAGACCTTCACTTGGTGAGACAGATGTGGAACTGCTCGAGTGGGAAGCGGGTGAGGAGCGCTTTGCTTCCCCATTGTGCTTCCCTGGCTCCCAGGGCTTGCAAGGGCTTCTCTGTACGACCTGCACATTTCCCAGTACAGCTTCAAAAACTGTTGGTTTGGAGTATCACGTGATTGACGAACTTACGGCTAATCATTCAGTCTCAGAGCTGAGGACCTTCAGACTTAGCACCACTTTTTTTTTGTTGTTTAAGTGAGCTGCCTTCTAAGACCTTGTATTTTGGCTGCTCAGTACTGGATTATTCCGTAGGCAACACCAGCAGTGGTCAGTTCATAAAATGCACATAGGACAGAGATTGGCTCTTTCAAAAAGAAGCCATCTCCATTCCAGCACATATGTAAGATTGGTATCTTACGGGTTTGTGTATGGGTCAGCTTTCTGTCCCTGGGAAAGCTACCATTACCAATTTAGTCACTGTGTACAGTGACGCATACAGTGGCACATACAACTTAAAGGAGGCAAGGCTTACTTTTGACTCAGTTTCAGGGACCAGTACATGGTCCCCTGGCTCTGAGGCAGGCGCATCATGATGGAAGGCAGGGCAGAAGAAAGCTGTTTTACTCTTGCCCACTGATGCAGAGAGTGGGGAAAGAGTCGGAGATGAAGGGGCTGGAGGCCAAGTATCAGTCCCAGGTCTGGCCCCATGTATCACCCAAACACTCAGAAGCATGCTTTACTAACTTCCCGGGGTCTCAAGCTGGTCAAGGTGACAACCAGGATTAATCATCGTGGTTGATTTTACGTTTTTAGTTTCACAGGGCGGACAAAGGAAGGCACCAAAACCTTCTGTGTGTGGTGTCTCCCAATGGCTTAATCCTGCATTAATCAGCCTTCAACTGGAGAGAACCTGTCTCCGGCACAGGTCTCCATCCTATTGCCCCAAGCTCCTTTCCATTTAAGACTGAGAAAAGGCAGAGATGGTTACTGTTCTTTCTCTCTTCCTCTTTGGTTGCAAAGTCCCCACACTTGTCCCCTTCAAATGAAGACGAGGTTCCTTTGTCCATTTCTAGTAAACTGCTTGCTTCGGTTGTCCTCTCACAAAAATTAACTATGAGTATAAAGAGAGGAACCTTTTCCCCCACTTCTCACTGTCTGAAAGCATTAAGTGGAAGCTTTAGCTGCATTACCGAAATGTTTCCTAATGAGAAACAAAACAATATGAAGTAAAAGTATCATGTTAAGAACAGGTGAAAACAAGAGGCTGAAGGCACAGGAGTCAGGTGCAGAACTCACGTCCCCGCATCCAGCTGCTGCAGCACCGGAAGCTCACCTGCCTGGGTCTGGGCCGCAGAGCCGCTACCTTCGCTGACTGGCCCTCAGTTCATGAACTTCAGCTGGTATTGCCGGACCCGATGAAATGACAGTACTAGGACCTTCCACAGCAAGTCACTGCAAGGGTTTGATGAGAGGCTGTATTACACTCTCTGTGAAGCCCCAAAGTAAATGCTAACTGCTATGGCTGTTATTGTCCCAACCCTGGACATTGTTTTGGGCACAAGCAATACCAGACATACCATTGAGGAAACTTTCATTTAGGGCTGCTGCAAGGTAAGAGGTAAGGCGTGTGTAACTGGATCATGAATCCAGATGTTAGGTTACACCCCAAAAGAACGAAAGAAAGAACTTCTTTCGTTGAACTGTCATCCTAATTTGCAAGTGTATCTTAATGTCTTTGGAAAAGCTTTGTCTGTCTCAGAGCCAGAGAAACCGGTGCTGACTCACTGCATAATGTCCCAGTCTACTTGGAAGGGCTGCCAATCAAAACTTGACTTTTGCACTGGGAGGTCTTATTTCTGATAAAGGGCAGAAGCAAGAATGGCAAGTAGCGATCACTAGATGAGAAGAGCTCATCTGAGCTTGGTGTTGAGATCAGAAATGTGGGTGGGGACTTAGTTCAGGAAAGCAAAATGATGGGGATTTTATCAAGATTTCTTGGGAGAGGAGGAGGGGTGGGGCCTTGGAGTGGCCACTTACTGTAGCGGTTACCTATTAAAATGGGCAGATGTTTTAGTAGTGGTAACGTTTCTAGGTGAGCTTCAGGCACAGGAATATCTGGTAAAAGCTATACCTTTGTAGTCTGTTCAGTAACTAACAAAGCCTGTTTATTTGTGTGTGTGTGCTTTGCCTATCTCTTGTTTGAGATCATTGTGAAATAATTATAAAATATAAATAGAATATTAGCATCTTGGGTGTATTTAGTTGTTAAGAAATCCTTTGAGATGTGTAATTGCATAATCGCAGTGCTCAATAAGGTTCTTAGACGAAGAAAGAAGTAATCTACTTCAACCTCTTCCACAAACTTAAACTCTCCAACCCCTGACATCCATGAATGTCCAGCCTCTGTTTCTCATGACTTTTTTCAAGATTGTTTTTAGAAGTTCCAGCCCGATTTCTGGTAAGTTTCAGTTCTAAGAAAGGTTTTTATATATGAGACAACTCATGAAGCTTGCAACCTTTTCCACTGACAGCTCTTTGTGATTCTTTTCGGCGATAATTCTCTGGTTTTCTTTTCACCTTTGTGAGACTTTTTTTTTTTTTTCCAGAATCATAGTAATTAACTACAAAATCTCCAGAAACTGATATCAGCAATCTCTAAATTCCTCTTCACATAACATCTCAAGTCATTCATAAGAATAGTTACTCAAAATTTAAATACAATGTAGCATTTCTCTGGAGAGTATAAACTTCATGAGGGAAAAGATATATTTCCTTCCTGTACTCCTAGCACCAGGTACAGTACCCGACACATAGTAATGACAGTAGAAGGATATTTAGGAAGCACTGAATGAACATTCTGTAGAGCTATCATCATTTATTTTCCACTCAGTATTTGCCAGTAACTTTCTTTCAAAGCTATCTGCTGTTTGGGTAGTCACTTCATTGTTCATTAGTACCTGACTCTGGTAAGAATATCTCCTGTGGAGAGAAGTATGATAACAAACTATTATGGCACTCAACACTGATATTTCAGTTACTCAACTAATCCACCCACTGATAGAGGGACTTTGAATTAAATGCTTTGAAGACTAAAGTCAAGTAAATCTTGATAAAAATCAAAGGCTGTAGGAATCTTGTTTGACAGAAGGCATGAGCGAAAATGCTAAAATTAATGCTGTTTGGGAGAAACATTCCTCAGCACACTAAATGAAGAGTAATAGTTCAAGAATATCAAAACGCCAATGTGATCGAAAGGCAGAAACAGCTTCTTTTTCTCCCTCTGTTAGTATTCTAGGACTCACAATGTTCTGCCTATGCGAGCACCTGCCGTTGTGGTAACTCTGATTTTTGATCACTTTATCTCACCTAGCATCAGGCTTCCTGTGAGGTAGGTAGGTGTGAAGAGCTCTCAGTACTGTTTTTGAGATGGGGCAAGTGAATTAGAGAGGCCGTTCACACGCTCCAGGTTTCACAGGGGCCTGTAGAGGAAGTAAGGGTAAAAATTCGTTAACTCCTAGTCAAAAGATTCAGCATCAGAGCTTGAAAATACATTGTAAGCCCCTGGCCCATCCTAGGCTTGCATGACAAGATTTTATAGTGGTCATTTGACTAATTTTCCTACCCACACAAATTTTAAGTAATTTTTAATCATTTAATACATACATGCATTTAATACATACATGCATGCACAAATGATATAATATTAAACTGAAAAAAATTAGTTGTTTTTTTTTTTTTTTTTTCCTTTTCGGGTACCAGGAATCAAACACATGACCTCGCGCTTGCCAGGCAGGCGCTGTGCCACTGAGTTAAATCCCCAGCCCCTAAACTGAAAAAAATTAAATGGGGAAAAATGGAAAGCTTTCCCTCTAAAATCAGAAATAGGACAAGGATGTCCACTATCACCACTCCTGTTCAAAGAGTCCTTGAAACATTAGCCAGAGAAATCAAGAGAAAGAAATAAGAGATATGTATAGAAAAGGATGAAGTCCAAGAATCATTATTTGCAATGACAGAATCCTTTATTCCCAAAAAAACTCCACCAAAAGCCTCCTAAAATTAACCAAATTCAGCAGTGTAATAAGATACAAAATAAACACACAAAAATCAATAGCATTCCTGTACACTAGTATTAAACTCACTGAAAAAGAAACTAGGAAAACGATACCATTCACAACAGCATAAAAAAAATTGAACACTTGGGATTAACCTAATAAGGAAAGAAAATGAGCTCTACAATGAAAATTATGTGACTCTGAAGAAGAAAATCAAGGAGGACATCAGAAAATGAAGACGTTCCCTGTTCCTGGAAGCAGATCCAATATAATCAAAATGGCTGTACTGCCAAAACTGATACACAGGTTTAATGTATTTAGGATTTTTATATCCTTCAGATGAACTGATCCTTCTTTTGTGAAATGAGCTACTTCTTCCCTGGCCCTGTTCTTTGCCCTGTAACCTACTTCATCTACTAATAGCACCTGTGGCAGAATAATATGTCATATCTCTTTTCATCCTTTTGTATGTAACCTCATTGGTTCTTTTTTTTTTTTTTTAAAGAGAAAAAAATAAAAATAACAAGAGAGTTTTAAAACAAGTTAGCAGGACAGTTACTACATTGAAAATACCATTGCGTATTGGCTTCATAGTAGTTCTTCCGAGTACAAGATATAGCCATGATATCTTGTCCAAACAATATTAGCACAACCTTTTTTTCAATGAACTGAGAGGAGCTAGCTGAATAACTATCTTAACTATCTTGTGTATAAATATATTTTTTCTTTTTCTCTTTCTTTCCCTTTTCCACCATCATAGTTTGTCTTTTCTTTTCTTTTTTAATGTTTTATTTTAAAAAGACTAAAAAAAATAACAACAACATAGACAAAAACAAAACAAAGCAAAAACAATAGCCAGTTGTTCCTCAGAGAAAGGACTTATATCTTGATACACGATTTCAAAACAAAATGATAGGAATTAACAGTGGTATTTATATTACATACTGTTATCTTCAACGAAGTTGTTCAGATTTACAGATGTAAGAGTGCAAGATTGATCAAACCATTAAAGAGGATTTAGAAAAAGAAAAAAAATAGAAACGATACCAAGTTTCACTAGACAAGATGGTAGGAATTCACCAATGGTTGTTATATTGCATATTGTCTTCAAATTAGTTGCTCAGATTACCAGATGTAAGCAGGATAATTGGTAAAAAAAAAAAGTAGGCATTAACTGTTCCTTTCAATAGACAATCAGACATCAGCAGTACAGTTATCCCCGCTATACTTATATATATATATATATGTATATATGTTTTCCCTTCCTTCTTCCTTTCTTTTTCTCCTTTTCCTTATCCCAGTTGCTCCTTCCTTTGAGCAATTTCTTTCCCTTTCATAGTATCTATTGTATGTTTTGGGTTTTATTTACTCTCAGATTCTTACTCTAGGGAGACAATGTGAGGTTTACACATGTGGGTCTGATTTATTTCACTTATGAGTATGGTTTCAAGTTGCCTCCATTTACTTTTTTTTTTTTTTTTTTTTTTTTGTCTTTTTGAGGCAGGGTCTCACTATGCAGTTCAGGCTGACTTTGAGCTCACTTTGTAGCCCAGGTTGGCCTCGAACTTGCAATGATCCTCCTGCCTCAGCCTCCCGAGTGCTGGAATTACAGGCATGCCCCACCATGCCCAGCTACATCCATTTACTTATGAAAGCCTCGAGTTTATCTTTTTTTATAACTGAGTAATACTCCGCTGTATAAAAATACCACATCTTTTTTATCCATTCCTCAGTTGATGGACATTTGGGTTGTTTCCAAGATGTAGCTGTAACAAATTGTGCTGCTATAAACATGGGTGCACAGAAGTCACTGTCTATCACTATGCATTAAAGTCAAAATGGATGAAAGATTTAAATATTAAAACAGAAACACTAAATTTACTGGAAGAGAAAATAGGTAGAAATCTTGAAGGCATAGGAGTAGGCAGAGACTTTAGGAACAAAACCTGGAGCACACAGGAAATACTACAAAGAATCAACAAGTAGGATCTCACTTTATTTAAAAGTTTTACACAACAAAAGGAATCACCAACAGAGTGCAAAGACAACCCACATTGTGGGAAAAAATTATAGCCAGTTGTCCTCAGAGAAGGGACTTATATCTAGAACATACAAAGAATTGAAAAAAATAAGACCCCTCCTAAATTCAAAGACCCAATCCAAAAATGGGCATCTGAGATGAATACATACTTCTTAGATGAAGAGATACAAACACAAATAAATACATGGAAAAAAATGCTCATTTGTTCTTTATATTTAGAGAAAGTTTCTTATAGACATTTTATGGTTATGGCCTTGCTTTTTAATTCAGTCTGAAATCTCTGCTTTGTAATTGGGCTGTTTAGGTAATTTATGTTTCGTATGATTCTTGATGTGATTACTTAAATTGATCATCTT